GACCAAACTGACAATGGCATGACAAAAACTCATCAGCCGAAATAAACGTGCGAAAAAAGATCAAAAGCCAAACAAAACTGAGCAGCACGAAACTCTCAAAAAAGGGGTGATCTCAGGTGCTCCAGAAGGGTAAGCAGATCCTGTTTCATATGTGGCACCCGTCACTTGGCGATTTTGCAAATAAAGAAGGAATGTGTTATAATTTTCGAGGAACTCCCCCCCCCCCCCCCCCCCAAAAAAAAACATGAACTACAGGGTGTCAAATCGATGAACATGCTTAAAATAGGCTCCTTTTCATAAAAAAGAATTGATGAAAATGTATTTGTATTTAGTGTACAGTGGCAAATATTACATGCATATAAGGACGAGAATATGTAAGTGTGATATGAATATGAATAAATCTTTGCTCTGTACAAGACATATTTTGCTTGCTTAGCCGAATTTCTAACAAACTAGTTGACAAACCGTCTCTGACAATCTCTGGAAATCCAAATAGCATCGGTTTTGATTGTCCAGATTTTTTGGTTTTATTTCGGGGAAAAGGGGTGCGTTTTACGTACAGTGGCAAATATTACATGCATATCAGGACGAGAACATGTAAGTGTGATATGAATATGAATAAACCCTGCTTTGTTACAAGACATACTTTACTTGCCTAGCCGAATTATCAACGAACTAGTCGACAAACTGTCTCTGATATTCTATGGAAATCGTAATCGCATCGCTTTTGATTAAGTCCAGATTCTTTTGTTTTATTTCGTGGAAAAGAAAATACAAATTTTCAGATACCTCTAACAAAACCGGGGGGAGGGGGTCACATTCTGATATATCTCTCACCATCTCAGTCCAACGCTTTACCGTATTATTTGTCATATCAGTTGATCTTTGTTTTTTAAGATTAAGACTCCAGATTCTTATGTTTTATTTCGTGGAAAACGGGAGTGGTAAATACAAATTCTCCGCTAACTCTTACATAGATGTGATTTTATATGAGTAAAATTTGACCCTCACAGTCATAACCGAAGTCTTATAAGCGCAATATTATGTTGTATATATTAAAACACCACATAGATAAATATTTTCTTAAATATTGTTCATAAAAAAAAGTCTGGTTTTTAATCATAAAAAAAAACCCAAACAAAACATGTAAAATATAGGCAAAACTGTATTCGAGTGTAACATTTAGCGAAGGGTAATTCTTTTGCTTTATGAATTTATGGAAAACTTTCTTTGTATATCATTTTGACTCCGGAGTTAAATTTCATTAATATTCACCAACTTGCAAATAAAGAGGAAAAAATCCTGGGGATTTGTCCCTCATTCTTTTCCATAGAATTGCAGTACTTCTACGCATCGTTATTGTCTTTCAATTTAACATAAAACGATTTAATATTTGTACTATATTCGAAGTCAACACCAAAAATCTTTAATTCTGCACAAGTACATGTCATCCTATCATTGTTTTATTTTGACTTTACGTTCTGTTTTTTTAACTTAACATTTTACTGTTTCAAGTCAAGACCAAACTTCTTCAAATTTACATCGTGTAGTTTCAAGTCAACACATTGTATGATAAGCCTCTCGTGACGTCATAATGATATAACATCGTGCTATCTGAGCTCAACAACACGTACTTTCAACTGTACGTCGTGTAGTTTTGACTGAGCATATTGTATGGCAAGCCTATCGTGACATTCTAATGATATAACAACGTGCTATCTTAGCTTAACATCACGTACTTTCAGCTGTACGTGGTGTAATTTTAAATGGGAAAATTGTGTAATAAGCCTATCGTGACATTATAATGATATAACATCGTGCTGTCTTAGCTGAACAACACGTACTTTCAACTGTACGTCGTATAGTTTTAAATGAGCATATTGTATGGCAAGCCTATCGTGATATCATTATGATATAAGATATTGCTATCATAGCTCAACATCACGTACTTTCAACTGTACGTCGTGTAGTTTTAAACGAGCATATCGTTTGGTAAGCCTATCGTGACATTCTAATGATATAACAACGTGCCATCTTAACTTAATATCACGTACTTTCAACTGTACGTTGTGTAGTTTTAAATGAGCAAATTGTATAATAAGCCTATTGTGACATTATAATGATATAACATCGTGCTATCGTAGCTTAACATTACAAAATTTCAACTGTACGTCCTGTAGTTTCAAGTGAGCATCTTAGCTTAACACGTTGCATCGTGTTGGTTTAAGTCAACAAATTGTATGGTAAGCCTTTCGTTTCAATATAGTGGTGTAGCATCGTGTTATCTTAACTTAACATCATGTACTTTCAACTGTGCATCATGGTGTTTTAAATCAACAGATTGCATGATAGACCAATCGTAATATCACAATGATATAACATCGTACTATCTCAGCTCAACATTAATTAATATCAAGTCAGCACCATACATTTTAGCTATTCATTTTATTTGTTATCATAGCTGTCGATGTGGATGACTGAGCAGTATCCATCTGCAAGCTAACATCATGCAACGTCAACTTCACATCAAGTACTTGAAACCCAACGTTACGTGTGTTTGGCATATCATCACAACATCGTGACTTATCATTATACTATCACGACTAAAGCACTTGTCATTGCAAGTCAACATTGCGCAGATTCAACTTAGCATATTGTAATTTAGAATTAGCATTTTGATAACTCAATTCAACATCACGCTGTCTTGACTTTACATTTTAAGCTTCAGCATAACGTTTTGTAAATCTCTAATATATGACAGCTGAGGCTTTCCATAGTGTTTGATTCATATCACTGGTAAAGTAAAAATCTAGCAAAGCTGGATAAATTATCAAGGATGCAACCATGACTGTTGTAGTGCCTGTTTCGAATCCAAATCTCGTTTCCGGCATTGAGTCGAACCACCGCCATACTGCTGTCGGACGTATTTTCTGTTACCCAGATTGATGTCAGCCTGGTCCCTTGATTCACAATATCTACCAAACAGGAATGACCTTTTTCTCCCCGAATTTGAACGTGAAAAACGTAAACTCCGTTAACTGGTGCAGTGAAAATACCATTCGAGATCTCATAACTATTACCTTCTTTGCTTACGACATGGTCGAACGCAATAATATGAACTTTACATTTTAAGCTTCAGCATAACGTTTTGTAAATCTCTAATATATGACAGCTGAGGCTTTCCATAAAACACTCTGGTATTTCATTCTTTAATGCTAAAGCAATTTTTTGAAACGGTTTATTCATACAAGACAACAATAAAAGATGAAGAATGTGTCCATTGAACACAGATGCCCCCATAAATATTCGTCAAATTTTGCAATTTTTTCTATTTACAAAGGGACATAACTCAAAAACGCCACCCAAATTCGGACTTGATTTGTGTTTGGTGGTAATGAGAATTGTGTAAAAGTTTCATGACATTTGGTTAAGGCAGACAACAGTTAGAATGCCGTAACAGCAAATTTATTAATTTTTCCATTTACAACAAAGGGATATAACTCAAGAACGGTGAAAGTGGCACCACTCCAATTCGAACTTGATATGAGTTTGGTGGTAATAAGCATTGTGTATAAGTATCATAATATTTGGTTGACGCAAAATGAAATTAGATTGTGGAAACTGCAAATTAGTCAATTTTTCCATTTATAGAGGGACATAACTCGGAAATGGTGAAAGTGACGCCACCAAAATTAAAAATAGATCTGTGTTTGGTGGTACAAATGTAATAAGCCTTGTGTATAAATTTCATAACATTGTGTGCAGGCAAACTAATGTAAGAGAACGGGAAGTAATTTTGGGGCGTACAGACGTCGGACGGACGAACAGACGGACAAGCCGGTAAAACGTAATGCCCCCTCCACCACGGTGGTGGCATCATTGAAAAGCCAAATAAACCAGAAAACTGTGTAATCTTTAGGCGTACATGTATTACACCTTCGTTTTTGGAAGCGCGTGGTTTATAGTGATGGGTGTCTGTCTGTTCGTCCTTCAATTTGTCCCACCAGATAATGTCTATGGTCCCACTTTTGTATCCGATACTGATCCTGAACTTCTTTAAAGATTTTATTTAAACTTTCCTTTCACAGAATCTAACTCACAGGGTGAACTTTTGCATCTCGTATTTCATTTCTTGATTCGAATGATTTTTTTGGTGTATTTGTCATGACTTGGGTTTCGTCACAGACATCCGCGCACTACAGTTCACATTTGTATTTGCTTCTCCTCCTAATTAAAGCCCTTTACGAAAATAAAATGAAAATTTTCCGGAAGCTTCACAATATAATAATACCCCCAATTTGTTTCTTTATCCGAATTATTTTTCGGGGTTTCCGTTAGCAAATCTAAAGAGGATTATTCGTTTGTGTGCTCAGCTCACAGTACTGTCTCCTTTGAATCTGGCTTCTTTATAAAAGCATATTATCGATTTTAGGGTCTCTTGAAAACTGAAACATCAACGGATTAAGTGATGATCGAGACTTAAATTTCTGAAAGCGTGTGTATCAAAATCTGTCCAATATGTTTTCCTCAGTTTCGTACGATGTATTAGTACAAAAAGTCAAGCATGAAACTAAAGTTGATAATACTCATCTTTGGGGTATTAAAACGAGGTCGAAACCATAAATCTTATACTCCTCAAAACCAATCTACACCGCGAATCAGTGAAGCATCCGCGGTCAAAATGTCAGGCCGATGATAACTAGACGGCCTGCTGATTTTGGAGAAAGAGAGTCGTGGGTAAACCTTGGGAGTAACTATCACTCTCTCGGAGGGAAGTTGACCGTAAAGTGATCATTATAGATTCAGACGACATCAACAATTGCCGTCTTTATCTCAGTATTTTTTTAATATGCTAGATAATAATGTAAAACGAGTAGCCACTATCCGACTATAAAAAGTTTATAAAAACAAGCCATCACATAGGTACATGTATGTGCCTAACAAATGTAAAAAAAAATAACCACAAATGCTCTTCAAACTGGAGATTTATAACACCGATATATATATTAGTAATTTTTAATTACAAAAGTCAACAGATCACAATCAATGTCTTACAACGAAAAAATATAACAATATAATTTTTTTTCAACTATCAAACCATACAAACCAACAATGTACATGCATATCTTTATAAAAGACTATATATGATATTTACTTAACAACAATTTAAAGAAAATCCAATTTGTCATAAAAAAAAACATGAAATTTAAGCTTTGGTGTAATCGTCGTCACTTCGTTTCCATGCGGCACATGCCAAAAATATACCAAGTAACTGAAATTCAAAATAATGGTAATAAATTTAAATGATTATTCAATATCATAATAACGTTTAACAGTCTAAGTATACATTCATGTTTCAGCATATATCAATTACAGTACCCTAAATAGCTCACCAAAACCAAAATGTATAGAAAAGTAGATAAAATTAAATAATATCATCATCTCCACTTCGCTTCCATGCTGCACAGGCCAAAAATATACCAAGCAACTGAAATAAATGCAGAGGTATATAAAATAGTCATGAGCGATTCGAACTAAGAGAGATAACTCTATTTACAAATACTTTCTTACTCTCGACCCTCGAGCTCCAAAAACCAAAACAAGAAACTCTTGCCAAAACTCCATTACTTTGAATCTATCCGTTTACATTAATAATTATTCTTTTCATCATCAAATTTCCACTAGTTTCTCATTTATTCGCGAAGGTGTAATAGTAATAACTGTTAAAGAAATTTAAAGAAAATTGGCCCGACAAATATGATGATACCAGGTGTATCAAATAAATTACAATAAACTTACAAACTGAAGACCTATATATTTTTATTTTTTTATTTTCTTACCTGAAACATGGCTACGCCTACTCCAGAACCTATCAGAAGGGTTATGTGTGACTTTATCTGGTTTTCCATTTCTCCATAACAACCCTGAAATGTTTTAATTGTAAGAAAATGGAATAACACAATGTTCATGTGTTTAAACAGCAGAATCGATATACAGTATACTGTAAAAACGTTAAGGGGAAATCAATTATCGGTAGAACGCTTGTTGAATGACCCAAGTGATGACTTTGTATAGACACTTGTAACGGAGTACGAGACCTACTATCACTTTTATGACGTGTATTCGTTTTACAAAGGAGCAAAACAAATGCGCATATTCAAAAAGTCAGGAATTAAAATTTTTAAAAGCATTTTTTTGTATTCCTAAACGTCATACTTATAATGTTCAAACTAATGTCACAATGCAACATGTGTAATTCCTTAACTTCATACTTGTGGTATTCAAACTAAAGTCACAATACAACATGTGTAAATCCTCAACTTCATATTTATGGTATTCAAACTTAAGTCACAATGCAACATGTGTAAATCCTCAACTTCATATTTATGGTATTCAAACTAAAGTCACAATGCAACATGTGTAAATCCTCAACTTCATACTTATGGTATTCAAACTAAAGTCACAATGCAACATGTGTAAATCCTCAACTTCATATTTATGGTATTCAAACTAAAGTCACAATGCAACATGTGTAAATCCTCAACTTCATACTTATGGTATTCAAACTAAAGTCACAATGCAACATGTGTAAATCCTCAACTTCATATTTATGGCATTCAAACTGAAGTCACAATGCAACGTGTAAATCCTCAACTTCATACTTATGGTATTCAAACTAAAGTCACAATACAAACTATGTAAATCCTAAACTTCATTTGGACAATTGATCAAACTTACCTCGTAATACAAGTTTTTATATTTTTTTGGTTTTGTCTTGGCTTCATTTTGGCATTCCTGTTTATTTGATCCGCAGCATGAATCCGGAACTAGTTTCTAAAAAAGTTTTAAATATTTCAGTGAGAATCGTAATTGTTTTCAATGTTATGAATGCTTTTCGAATTCAATAAAACTTCAGATATAATTGTGGTATCTATGAGGATGTAGCTTGGGGTTTCCAGGATAGAGAATAATGGGCGAAAAATATAAAGAATAGAGAAAATGGACCAAAAAATAAAGAATAGAGAACAATGAGGTGCTAAGATATAGAGAATAATGGGCAAAAAGTATAAGAATAGAGAAAAATTTCCTAAAAAATTAAAGAATCTCATCTACCGAGTTAATTGTAAGTACCATCATATAGATTTCTTGTGATTAAGAGCTAAACATATTCTATGGTGTTACAATTCAGCATTGCTGAATCATTTGGGATTAATAAAGACGTACTTTATTGAACTATTGCAACAACTATTTCAGGGGGTAATGAGGTGACACGTTGAGTCAATATTCATCAGAATTTCCATTGGGGGGTCCAGGGGGTGTTTCGGTGGTGGAACCCCCTTTTATTTCCTCTATTTTTTTTTAATTATGCGAACGTTTCATGGTGTTCCGGGGGTTGGAATTCCTCCCCCTTTCACTGAAATGGCTGTATCCGCACCTGGCTCCAATTTCGAGTGGCAGTCGAAATTCCCGGCCTATATCCCGGTCGACACACTTCGTAGAACCTGATTATTGGATTTATTGTTAACTTGTTTGTCCTGAATATGTATGGAGTATTAGCCACTTGATATTTTGTAACAATCAATCAATCAATCAATCAATCAATCAATCAATCAATAATCAGAGTTTATTCAAGCTTGCTCAAGGAGCGATAATAACTCCTCGTTAAAACTATTGTATCTTTTCAAGAATATCAGACAAGCGATTATGGACTCGGCAGATCAGTAAATGAAAGGTGCTCTTTTCACATTAAAAATGAAAGAAAAATCCTGCTCAGTTGAAATAAATGGTATCATATAACAAATAAAGTTTTAACAGAATTTTTTAACTTACGTTATCTGCAAGCGGTATTTTCATGACAGCATAGTCTGTAAAGTTGTGTACTCCACAACATTGTAACTGAAATAGAAAAATGGAGGTGTCGAGAAAAATATTTGGGCATCCTTTTCTGTCATTCAACATAAGTCAATGACCATTTAAATTTCGACCATCAAAAAGTTTTGATTTGCGATGACGCTATTTCACAGTACATATGAATATACTGTAAAGTTTCAGTGGTAGTTTTTAACTTTGTGTGTCCTTGTGAATCAGATAGTATTTCAATTAGCCATGAAAAGTATATACAAAAATGTCCATCAACTTTCCATTATAAAACCTTGATTTATCAAAGGAATTATACCCATGCATATAGTATATCCAAAAGAAATGCATCGAACATGCCTATAAATGATACAAAATACTACCTAATAAAAGTATCAAAATAGAAATATTCCATATTCTTACAATTAAAGAGTACAAAAAAAGTAAAACAACAAAAATACCGAACTCCAAGAAAAATTCAAAGCGGTAAGTCTTTTATAAAATGGCAACATCAAAAGCTCAAACACATCAAACGAATGGAAAACACCTGTCATATTCCTGACTTTGTACAGACATTTCCTTATGAAGAAAATAGTGGAGTTAAACCTGGTTTTATAGCTAGTTAAACCTCGCACAAATATTCCCTAGTTCAAGGTGTTAACGATATGCATGTTAACTTCTATGTCATTTGGTCTCTGGCGAAGAGTTGTCTCATAGGCAATTATACCACATCTTCTTATTTTTATATGTCTTATATTTCTGAAACCCTCAATAAAGATATTTGGTGATTTTATATCATATCAGGTTTAGCTAAAACTTAAAGAAGCGAAAGTTTACAATTATTTTTGTGGTCTATATGCATTGAACTTTGAACTTACCCAGCCCTGTATACCGTCCCATCCTTTATTTATTATTTCACTCGTTTGATTTTTCGAATCATACTCCAACAGAGATTCTTTTAATATATTCTGTAGCGTATCGTCTACCTAAAAACCAAATAAGCTAAGTGTAGTCAAAGTTTGACACAATATAATATGACTGTGTGGTTTTTAACAACCTTGACTGGCTGTTAAGGCCTCGCATTGTCGACTAAAACAATATTATATGATATATTTTAATAGTTATTTGTTTTAATGCATTCATTTATAGGAGTGAATCGTTCTTCATTTGTTAAAATTAATTGTTTTATAATTATTTCATTTCTTGATTCATAACTGATTGCAATAGCAAAGAACATTTCATTGGGAATATTCCAAAATAACTACTTGTAGTGACTGTGATCCTGTGTACTCATTCATTCATTTATTCATTCATTTTAGGTCGGTGGTTTTCTCCGGGCACTCCGGCTTCCTCCACCAATAAAAACTGGCCGCCACGAAATAGCCCAAAAGCGGTGCTTAAAAGTGGCGTTAAAACACCAAAATTCAAAAATCAATTATTCATTCATTTTATAACTGTTCTCTTTTCATTTATTTATATGTTTTGCTTTTTATTTATTTACACATTATTTATCTACCAATTTAACGTGTTAAACTTACTTTGCCTTTGTAAACGGCAGCAATTATTCCTGCAGAAAATTCACCAAGGAACACAAGAACCACGCATCCCATATACTAAAAATAGATCATACAAACAAGAATAACAGTAGATGTCCAGATGCGAATCCCGTATTTTGAAAAAAAAGGGGGAGGCAAACAAGGCAACTTTAGTAATGGGACTTGAAAAAAGTCTATGAATTGACCATATAATATGTTGCTTCATAAATTATTATCATACTACGTGTTAGTCCTAGCTGGTTTAGCTGCATTAAAACACACTTATTAGTATTCACAGTGTGTCATTTTTTAAATATATATTCAGTAACGATATAAAAAGATCTGTTCTTTTCTGAATTTTGTACAGAGGCAGGTTAGCCAGGATTATTCAAACAGTGACCGTATTTGTCGTGCTGAAATCGTAAATTAGATTGTATACATATTGACCCGAGGCAAAGTCGAAGACGAATTTCCAGAATACGTAACTTTTTTACGTATTTTGCTTAAATTTTCAAAAAAGTGTGCATGTATTATTTATTTGTTCTATCATTTTATATTGTACGTTGACTTACCAGTGCCAAAAAGAATTTGATCTGTTTGCATCCACCAATAAAACCAAACAGACCGACAAGCAAAACAAAGACACCGAACCCTATTAATATGTAGGCAGCAGTAGATATATACTTGTCTCCAGAGTTCAGTTCTATTACATGTTGTATATTTAGTAAATTAGGATTTACTTTAAGAAATATTCCTACACCAAGTACAAATATGCCTGTGAGCTGAAACAGAAAGCAATTGATAAAATGTGGTGATTTTTGTTACTTCAAGTGTACAATAATATAATAACGGAAACTATTAATAATGTGAATATTCATATCTAAAGAAATATATTAGAACCCCTTTGTATCTTTTATACAATTGGCAGTGTTTAAGATCCTTCTGCATACAATGGAAAAAGTCATGAGTGTATCTGAGACAACGATTTTGTAAAATACCGTTTTTATTTTGGTTATTCAAAATGAGCTGAAGTGTTCACATCTTATGAAAAGACTAAGACGTTCCCTAGCGTCGACTTGCGCAGTGCTCTTTGGTACACAGAGAGAACTGATATACGATTTTTTTTTCAAGACTTTTATGTGGATTATAATCAGTAAGTAATTTCGAACACACAACAAGGACTCTCACAAGTTGCCCGACAAAAGTCACGATTAAGCATCGACGATAACGAAAAGGAAATATTTGTTGTATTTTTGTTTCCGTGTCTGTAATGTCTACTTTTATAATTGTTATGTCACCTCACTTCTGTGTAGTTAAAGCATCGCTCAAATACAATATATCCACATTCTCCCATTAGAAGTTACCTGCGCGTAGTTGTTATTCCGATTTGTATCGTCGTCAGTGGCGGATCGGGGTGGGGGGGGGGGGGGTGGGGGGGGGGAATCCCCCTTTTTTGACGATCAATACATTTGAATGGGGACATATAGTTGGAACCCCCCTTTATCCTGGGTTAGGACCCCCCCTTTTATAAATGGTTGGATCCGCCCCTGACTCATTGTGCGTCTAATGCTTCAAACTTAAGTACTTACAACAAAAAGTATGTTGAATGTCACAAGGACACAACGAGCAAATCCATCGCAACAACCCATTCTGGAAATAAAATTAATACACATGTTTCAATAACTTTACGAACATGTAATTTGTTTTGTATGATAACATAGTTGATGGGACACAAACAAAGAAACAAGAATAAAACGCTGATTATATAAATAATATAAAGTTTGAGTTTTCAACAACTTCGAATTGTTAATTTGTATGCAATCAATCAGAGTCTCTCTGCCGCTTCGTTACTCAATCATTAGGTGCAGTATTACATTTTTTCTTTTATACATCGTTTTGTTTTTGTTTCCGATCCTAATAGTATACTTATATAATTAGCATTAATGATCTTTTAATGTTTTTCAATTTGGGGAATTTGGTGCTGAGGGTAGATGTATGATTGTTTCTGCTTAATTTACGTAAAAAAAGTTCTCTTAGTGCAAAAACTTATACCAAAAATGGCATTTCAAAAAAAAAAGTAATTAACATATACACAGCACTGATAGAACAAACATATATATGTCTGGTCCCTCGATATTTCTTGCTCATCTCAAGGTTCTGTCGAATATGTTTGAGATACCGAAATTAACGAACATTTATGAGTAGAAAAATGGTGTATGATACACGTTTATAAATTGTGTTTTTTCTGTCACAGATATAAAAAAAGACATGTAACGAATGTCTTTTACATATATATTTAAAATACTTATACATGTACATATAATTCGAATTAAATAAAATTTTAACTTAATTAACTTTCCCCCCTTTTAAAACTGGATATACTTACCCGTTTCCTACAACTTTCTAAACAATAATTCTAGCAAATATGATTTTTTTTTATTGATATAATCATCAGACATAACTAAAGTCCAATGTCCTTATTAATGTACGTAATACGCGTACGCCCCTTGCACTTTTTTCACGAAAGGTAGAATTGCAGGAGTCCATTAACATTGATAAAATACATGTACATTACATGTTTTTCCAAGAGATAAAATTTTTATTCGGTAAAATTAATTTATAATTTTAAAGTAACCAATACTTACCTAAAACTTATACTGAAAAGACCAGATGTCCGTAAAATTCTCTATATAACCAATTAATCAGGTCAACACTCCGAATTATGTCGTCATTAATATCTAATCATAATTATACAGATATGAATAACTATCCGGTGGTTTTTAATCAGAAAATTTCATATTTGCACATATATAGGGTTCACAGATAAGTTTAATATGGCGCATTATCTAATTGGTCCCCTCTCCATAGGTAAACGGACAAAAAGTCATAGGACAGAACGTCACAAATTTTATAGGACAAAAAGTCACAAACAAAATCTTTATAATTGTTTGAATACATTAGAGAAAGTTCTTGAAATCATTCCTTTTATTACATATATTCTTTTTAAAGTTTAGGAAATTGTTCATAAGCCTGGCTAAATGAAGATTTATCAAATTTTAATCATGCAAAGGATATTTTTTGGCATCATGAAGCCATTACTAAATTCCACGCAACTTTGACAAAATGTTTTCTTAAGAAATTTTTATCAATATCGATTTTTTTTAGAAAAAAAAATAGTTTACAAAGTTGCTTTATATATAAAAGTTGAAGAAAAATACAAAAATGTTTTAGAAAATAAGTGTTTCTTATTAAAAAAAATAATCTCAAAACTGGATTGTGACTTTCTGTCCTGTGATGTTTTGTCCGTGACTTTTTGTCCTGTGATTTTCTGTCCTACATACATGTGGACCTAAAAAAAACCTTTAAAATTTCAACTGTATTGGCTATTGGCTATGAACTAGCTTTCAGTTACTTCGAGTACTTTTATTTCGGTGCTTTGCGTCTATTGTTATTATGTTACTTGTTTTTGTACCTCGTATCACTCTTTTGAGTTAAGCCAATAGCAACTGATTTTACAGTTTGTTCTTACACCACGGGCGGGTTGGTCGCTAACAGACATGTTTAAACCCGCCACGTTCTTTATGTGTCTGTCCCAGGTAAGAGCCTGTAGTACAGTGGTTGTCGTTGGTTCATGTCTGTCATTCTATTTTCGTAAATTTTTTTGTAATGAATCAGGCTGTTAGTTTTTTCTGCTTTGAATTGTTTCACATTTTTCATGTCGGAGTCTTTTATATCCAACTATACGCAGTATGGTTTTTTTTCTCATTGTTGAAGGCCGTACTGTGGCCTGTTATTGCTTACTACAACTTAATTTTAACTCTGGTGGATAGTTGTTTCATTGGCATTCATACCACATCTCCTCATTTTTATATACATGTAATACAAAATTTTAAATAAAAAAGAAATTTTAATAATTAGAAAAGTAAAGTGTGCAGAAAACAACTAAGCAAACAAACAAAATCTTACCGTAGCAAGGTTTTTGTTTGACCTCAATGGTCAATGGCCCTGACTCCCGTCCGTATTTCAAATATAAGTCTCTATAGTCACTTTGGTCATTGACTGTACGCACTCAAACGAATGAAAAATAGATCATTATAAACAACTTGACTTATATCGTACTAAGTAGGAAACGGAATCATATGACAAATTAGGCAGAGTTTGAAGGTAAAGCAATATAAGAACTACAATTAGATGATCATTTTTGTAATTTTTATCCGCGTTTCACTTTACTTCTTTTTCCATCTCTCACTTTCGTTAACTCCTATATCCCACATCCCCACTTTTTACCTCCTATAGCCAATATCTCAACTTTTCTACCCCCTATATCACACAACTACACCTTTTTCTACCCCCTATATCACACAACTCCACCTTTTTTTACCCCCTATATAACACAACTCCACCTTTTCTACCCCCTATATCACACAACTCCACCTTTTTCTACCCCCTATATCACACAACTCCACCTTTTCTACCCCCTATATCACACAACTCCACCTTTTTTTACCCCCTATATCACACAACTCCACCTTTTTTTACCCCCTATATCACACAACTCCACCTTTTAAACCCCCTATATCACACAACTCCACCTTTTTCTACCCCCTATATCACATAACTCCACCTTTTTCTACCCCCTATATCCCACTTCCCCACTTTTTTTACCCCCTATATATATATATTCCATATCTCAACTTTTTCTACCCCCTATATCACACAACTCCACCTTTTCTACCCCCTATATCACACAACTCCACCTTTTTCTACCCCCTATATCACACAACTCCACCTTTTCCTATCCCCAATATCACACAACTCCACCTTTTTATTTACCCCTAATGTCCCACAGCCAAAAAGCGTGTCATTCTCCTTTGGCGGTCAGAAACAACCGCCTGCATCATTACTCTATAGTCAAAGTCGAACTTGACCTGTATATCATGGTTCACGACATTGAATTTAGATTTTTAAGAAAAATAGAACGATTGAATATTTCCAATAATCCAGAAACCATTAAATCCTATTTTAAGCTACCTGTCAAAACCTGTAGCATATGGTCCTTGTCGTCATGGTAAGATTTATAACGATTCTATCAAGAAGGAACTTTAGGTCCCAGCCGGAAACAGTTTTTTTTAAAGATAAATAAGGGGAATAATCATTTATCAGTAAATGTCAAAATAACACTTCACCTGTTGTTTATAATCTTTTGCATCATGATGATAGTTATAAAGATTATGTCAAGTGTTACTTTAGTTATCACCATGCAATAAAACATTTTTTATCAAAGATAATTAAGGGACATAACTCTTGGACGGTTGATGCAAAAATTGCCAAAACCGAACTTGACCTGTATTTAATGGCTTTACCTGTGTTTAAAGTAATTGCAAATGGCTGATATTTTTGTTCAAGCATATTGTTTTTCTTAAATTGTTTAACATTTCACAGCGGTATAACATGCTTCTTTAATTATTCTTCCCTTAGTTTATTTATTTTGTATTTACAGTGCATCATAGATCAAATGTGTTTGTTCAGTGTATGTTCACTGGTGTTAATATGTCTTTTGATTGAGTTAAGCCATTTTAATTGATATTTTATAGTGTGTCTTTCTATGTTGTGATGTTACACTATTGTTTCAGATAAGGGTGAAGGTTTGGTATCTTTAAAACGTTTAAACCCGCTGCAATTGTTTGCACCTATCCTAAGTCAGGAATCTGATGTTCAGTAGTTGTCGTTTGTTGATGTGGTTCATAAGAGTTTCTCGTTTCTCGTTTTTTTATATAGATTAGACCTTTGGTTTTCCCGTTTGAATGGTTTTACACTAGTAATTTTTGGGGCCCTTTATAGCTTGCTGTTCGGTGTGAGCCAAGGCTCCGTGTTGAAGACCGTACTTTGACCTATAATGGTTTAATTTTATAAATTTTGACTTTGATGGAGAGATGTCTCATTGGCACTAATACCTCATCTTCTTAATCTATTTGATACAAATAAGGTTTTACCGTAGACGAATTGAAAATTATATAAAAGGACCACTGGATTCGTAGATAATCAACTATACTCGTGCTAATGTTTTTCGATGACATAGCATATATGTCAGGAACTGTAAGGTAATTGGTTTATTGGTATTGCTGTTGTTTGCGTAACGTCCAGTGGCAAATGTTTCATGGATATTCAGGAAGAGAACAAATTAAACAATGAATTCGATATTTAGATTATACAAAATGGGTGGCCTGGGATATAGGATGCTTAATATGAATTTCGTTAGCAGGGTCCCACAACGTACAGAAAGCACACTACCTACTAGTACACGAGTCTTTAGATTTAATTCCCAATTCCGATCGGACGAGGTTGTGTGTTTATACATGTATATCCCCAACTGCCAAACGAACGTACTCAATCTCTGCATAGGTTTTACTGCCGAACGGGATCAATATAGAAGACCATATTTCTATGTTCTAGTCAACTCTTTGAGTCTAGCAATTGCTGACTGATTATTTTTTTGCGATTTCTTTTATTCATTCCTGTCAAGAGCGAGAACCAATTATATATCAAATCAAATTAAAGTAAGGAAGTTTATCAAAAGAGCCATAAAGAAGAATTTTAAGTGTTACCGGCAAATCAGGGCATGTTTGGTATGTTATATTTTGTCACGCAGCCGAGGGCTCCTACGGAAAAATTCGAAGAGAGACTGCTGTTGAAAGGGTTCGTTGGAAATATACCGAAATCGCAATGAGTAACGGATTTTACCCCTGAGTATCGAGAAAGCACTTCACATGTATTGTTCGTGACTGTATATCGTCCTCTAGATGTATTTTGCTTGGTTAATTTTGACGTTGGGTTGCTGTCCCATTGACATTAGCTCCTTATATTTATATAGTTTTATTTATATATGACTGCTATAGATTATTTTGCCTTGGTTTTTTATTCGTCCTGAATATGCATTGAATATTTACCACTTGAGGTGGGGCAAACAACAATCAATCAATTAAGAATAATCTTGTTTGTTTGATTGATTCATGAGGGTGTGGATGGGGTTTACAGAATATAGTACCAGATCAGACATTATGTAAGACCAAAAAACAATCATAAGTTACAAAGTACGAAACAGTCTGAACATGCATTATACATTTATCTTTTATCAATATAAAAAGAAGAAGATGTGATATGATTGTTATGCAATGAGACAACGCTCTACCAAAGACCAAATGACGTAGAAGAGAGGCGAAAGATAACATGGATAACAAAGGGACATTCAAACTCGATCATTAGTCAAAAATAAACTGACAATGCCTTGGATTAAAAAGAAAAAGACAAACAGACAAACAACAGTACACAAAACACATCATAGAAAACCAAATCAGGGCATGTTTGGTATGTGATATTTTGTCACGCAGCCGAGGGCTCCTACGGAAAAATTCGAAGAGAGACTGCTGTTGAAAGGGTTCGTTGGAAATATACCGAAATCGCAATGAGTAACGGATTTTGCCCCTGAGTATCGAGAAAGCACTTCACATGTATTGTTCGTGACTGTATATCGTCCTCTAGATGTATTTTGCTTGGTTAATTTTGACGTAGGGTTGCTGTCCCATTGACGTTAGCTCCTTATATTTATATAGTTTTATTTATATATGACTGCTATAGATTATTTTGCCTTGGTTTTTTATTCGTCCTGAACATGCATTTTAATATTTACCACTTGAGGTGGGGCAAACAACAATCAATCAATTAAGAATAATCTTTTTTGTTTGATTGATTCATGAGGGTGTGGATGGGGTTTACAGAATAGAGAATAATGGGGGAAAATATAAAGAATAGAGAAAAATGGACAAAAAAAGTTAAGAATAGAGATTAATGAGGTGCTAAAATATAAAGAATAAAAAATAATGGGGGGAAAGTATAAAGAATAGAGAAAAATGGCCTAAAAAAATATATAATAAATAAATATAGAAATGAAAGACCCCCCACTAATCCAGACCTTCATTCATTGCGATTTAAGGATCGCTTTAGTGTCGCTCGTCTCAACAATAATGGTTTGCTTTTGTTGCAGAATACACGTAAAACTATAAGATAGATAAGATAAGATAAGATAAGAATTTTATTAATCTAATCAAGAACCCATAAAGGGCATCATTTACAACAATATTAAGCACAATATGATTGGAAAAAAGAAAAACTATATCCTAATATAATACTATCATATATTGGACAGGATCAGAGCCTAACACATCATGTGTCTTACATAACATTAACAATAATTGCATAATAATTTTATATATTTTGTATCCACCTGGATCTTATTTCTAAACACTTAATTATATAATTGCCTAGGCACATAAGAGTTGGTAAATGCTCATTTGTGAACAGCCAGAAATATTTTTTATCCTAAGGTAATTCTTTAAAATTATTACAAAAACTGTTTACTTTATCCCATAATAATTTTCTCTGTTCGTTATATAAAGGACAACTTACTGTGAAATGGGTCTCATCTTCAATAGAATTTGATCCATGTGATAGGCAGTGATGACATAGACGCTGACTTCTCTCTATGTATTTTTTACTATACCTATCTTTCTCAATTTTAAGATCATGTGCACTTATTCTCAATTTACATATAGCTCTTCTTATATTAAAATCTTTAATTGATAAATAAGCCTCCTTTACGAAGTCAGTCTTGAGGTTGAAATAATTTTCTAATTTACTATTTCCTTGTGATAAGGTATCAGATCTTTTGACCCCCCAAAATGTTTTAAAACTGTTACAAAGTTTACATTTTACAAATTTAATTAATCTATTGAGCTTTGTATTCAAATTTTGTATATCAAGTGATTGAAGGACATATCTCATAGATGAATACCAACAATTAATGTTTCCTGCATCTAAAATTTTATTACAAACATAAGCATGATAAAGTAACCCATCATCATTTTAAAAAGACTATATGTTTAGTCTTTTTAAAAAGAAGTTATAAATTGAAAAATATTTTTCATTTTACCTTATAATTTCATTTATACATTGTGCAAATATAGATGTGGTAATCACAATCAGCCGATTGAGTCTGAAAGAAGACAGAGTCCGATAGAAAACAGAGTCTGCCGTCTAAGTCACCCAAACGACATTTGTGACGAGTACCATTACATAATGAATTGTAGAACTTTTGAGTTAGAAAGATACAATATATTTACCACAGTACTGTTGGTCAAACCCTAATATCTATAAATTTGATCAACTGTTTAACTCATCAAATATTGCGATATTATGTCAAATTATCAAAGTTATAAATGTAAAAATCAGTCCTCCTTTCATTGTATTGTTCACACATGCAGGGCCGTAATTACATTGAAGCAAATGGGGCAAATGCCTCGTGTTGGAAATTTCTAAAAAAAAATAATAAGTTGAAACTAAAGCTTTTGTCTATATTTAAAAACTACTTTAAATTGTAAAAATATTTGAAATTAGCTCTCGCCTTTTGTTCTGAGGCGGCGTTAAGCGAACACCAATCAATCAATCGATCTATATGACTATGGCTGCAGTTGTCTAACATTCCTTGTTGTGAACGTTCATTTTCTGCTTTGCGTAGACTAGTGAACGGTCATGTGTGTTTTGGCAATATTACATGCCCACCGATGTCCAGATATTGTTCGAGAAAATGTCTTGAGAAGATACGATGCTACTGGACATAGAAAAAATTGTCGTTTTTTCATGGAAAATTAAACTTTATATAAAAGAATACAAAACTGGCTCCTTTTTTCTGTAAATAAAACTAAAAAGCTGACATGGATTAAATTAAAGTAAGACAGCCCAATTTCCAGAAATTAAATCATTTAAAAAGAAAATAATGTACTGTCATATGACCTTTTACATTGAAGGGATAAACTTGCTTTAAGCCGTGTTCAAGCTCTAAATATAAAATAAAGGGATATGGGGTACATGTGCATGGGACAAAATCGCAGACAATGCATAGAAAAAATACAAATTATCAATGAACAGGGCTGTATTCCTATTCTTCATCTTGACAGTCGCTGTAGTTTCTTCAAACATGAACCAATCATTGATACCCTATAAGTTCAAGACAGCCCCTAGTGTCGACTTAAGCGATAAAAATATAATTGCCAGGTATAATACGTTTTTTCTGCAAGCCAAAATTCAATAACAAAAAAAAAAAAAACATCCACACACTTGACTATGTGATTTACAATTTTATTTTTTATCCTACATATCGGTATTCTGATGCTGTCCCTAAAAACTAAAAAGTCTTACACTGAATCTATATATATTTTGCTTTGAGATCATTTTTTTCAAGAGCTTCTGGGGGCCTTCAGTGACCCCAACACCCCTTGTCGATAATTTTTTTCGCCTCGCTCCGCTCAGCGAATATATATTTGCCTCACTTTTAAAAGAGTCCAGTTACGGCCTTGACATGTATGTAGTAATTGTACCTTATAGTTATGTTTATATATGTTCTCCATAACTAGTATGTAATTGTAGTTTTGTGAGAAATTAATTATTCGTAATCGTAATCGTCCTGCGTTTTAAGTTGATTTACGTCCCTTTGTATATGTATAATAGACTTTCACTAATCTTGAATTATAGTCCGATTTCTCGTGGTAACGTGCTTGCCTTTAACGCTGGACTGTGTTCTGTAACAAATAATAGGAAGAAAAGGTGCCTTTTCCATTAAATGAACACACAAGGAGCATATAGTACCAGATCAGACATTATGTAAGACCAAAAAACAATCATAAGTTAAAAAGTACGAAACAGTCTGAACATGCATTATGCATTTATCTTTTATCAATATAAAAAGAAAAAGATGTGATATGATTGTTATGCAATGAGACAACGCTCTACCAAAGACCAAATGACGTAGAAGAGAGGCGAAAGATAACAAAGGGACATTCAAACTCGATCATAAGTCAAAAATAAACTGACAATGCCTTGGATTAAAAAGAAAAGGACAAACAGACGACAATGCCTTGGATTAAAAAGAAAAGGACAAACAGACGACAATGCCTTGGATTAAAAAGAAAAGGACAAACAGACAAACAGCAGTACACAAAACACATCATAGAAAACCAAAGACTGAGCAAAACGAACCCCACCAGAAACTGGGGTGATCTCAGTTGCTCTGGAATTATAAGCAGATCCTGCTTCACATGTGACATCCGTCGTGTTGCTCGTGTTAGTACAAACCCGGTGATAAGTCTAATTTGGTAGGTCACATTTCCGCCATGAGGAAAAGGGGAAGGGATTGTAGTTACGACAATTGGAATATATCCGTTGTCATCTGTGAAACGGGACAACCAACTCGTGATGGCGTCCGTAAAATTTACGAAGGGACGATTTACACGTCCCCACTTGGAACTCTTGGTTAAACCAAGAAACGTCACGGGCAAAGCAGTGCTTTACATAAAACAAATCATCAAATATACCAGGCTTGTAAATATGTACGTCAGACTCGCGTTTGGACCAGTGACACTTGATTCCAAAAAGTTAACAAGCCTAAATTAAATGTAGGAAGTTGAAGAGCATTGAGGACCCAAAATTTCTTCAATTTCTTAATCATTTTTCTTCGACTTATAGTTATTGGTTGCCCCTTTTGGAATCTTCTATATCCTTCTATGAGGGTGTGGATTGGGGTTTAAAGGATAGAGAATAATAAGAATAGAGAAAAATGTCGGTTCCAAAAAAATAAAGAATAGAGGATAATGGGCAAAAAGTTCAAAGAATAGAGAAGAATGGCCTAAAAAAATAAAGAATACAGAAATAAAAGACCCCCCCCCCCCCCAAATCCAGACCCTCTTATATACTTAGTTCGAAAAAAATATTTTTTTTGCAGATTAGTAAATAAAGCAATACAAGTCATCTCTTCGTGTTGCACCAACTTGGACTGAGACTCTTGGGAAAATGGACTGAGACTCTTGGGAAAACAGTGGCGGATCCAGAACTTTTCATAAGGTGGGGGGGGGGGGGCGCTGACTGACCTAACGGGGTCCCGCTCCAGTCATGCTTCCGTGATTCCCTATATAATCAACCAATTGTTACCCACAAAAGGGGGGCCGGGCCCCCCAGGACCCCCCTGGATCCGCCTATGGAAAATCGTACGTTTATTAACTGTTCAGAGTTTACATTAATTAGGGGATTGATGACCCCATGGGATTCGGCGAGGGGGGTGACAGGAGGAATGTAAATAGGCCTGGTACGAAGTGGAAATAATGTCCATCCTCGTCCGGATAAAAATCTTCCTTTATTGGATTGCTCATTGTCTGTTAGGGTTTTTTTTTATAGTCATCCTAGCTTTGTCAATCTATTTTTGTCCAACCCCACGGTTCCTTTTATTAATTGAAAGTGGCAACGAATATCCTATAAATCTGTTTTCACATGCAAAAAATATGTAATAACACATATGATAAATATGTGACTAAATCTTTTTAAGTAATTACGATTTTTCTATAATCTGATTTCAAACAAACCCCCATTCTTTATTTTTTGACAGGTGCCAGTTATGATTAACCTTTTCTTAGACATGCAAATAGTTCTAACTAACTAGCTTCCTTTTTTGACTGACTTTTCTTTTTGATTCTCGTCTGATATTTTTTCTGTGTGCATTTAATAACAAAAAATGTAATATTTGACTTGTTTTCGTTAATGGATTGGAAACAAAAATATTTACTTAACGGTTTACAACAAAGGCGAATCACGGGCACCTGCCAAGCGCAGTAATACACAACATGTTTTATAGTTCCGGTCAATTTTGTAATGGCTGCCAATGATCTCAAAAAATACAAATGTGACCTAAATAAGTTTACCGTTCCTAAATTTATGGACATTATTGATGTCTGGGACCGGACTTTCTTGTTTTTACAGACATTCATCTGTCCGTAAGGATGGGGATGGTGTCAAAATTATATTTAATAATAGGATGTCTGTCCATAATCAAAGGTAAGTTCATCACCTGAGATGTACACAAAACATCAAAGATACCGTGTGTATTCCGTCCTCTTGTTAATTTAATGTTAATTAGATAATTAGTGATATTACAGAATAGATCGTTCAAAGTTAAACATTTAAACCATTGTATTTTACCAATCACTTTATTCTTGCAATCAAAATACAAATACGCAATCAAAGGGTTTGACCGTTCCTTTGATCTCGCCGCCATAATGAGAACTGTAGTGATTTTGTGTATTCGCTATGAGCTTCGATCATTTTAACCAGTTACACTTTTATCATTTTACAGTGTTTTCTAACTTTATTGTGTTTGTAAACATCAAAGAATTCTTAAAATGTGGATTTGAAAAGTAAACAAAATGTGTTTTAGGGCAATACACAAATTCCCTGTTTGGTCACGTGACCGTTCTCTGTCCCTCTTGATTTATTTAAACAGTGAATTAAGATATAATTGACAATGTTTTATTTTAAAATGAACCAAAAAAATGAAATTAAATAACATATTTTTTTTTATTCAAAATTTATGCAGAAATCAAAATGAAACAGGAATGCCAGATTTTTTTTTGTTACCTTGACTCCTACTGACCCCTCATGACCCCTCAATAGTTCATTCAAGGGTTTTTTAAGCATCCAGATACAGTTGTACTCTCCCTTAATGATGCATCAGATTTGAAGTCTCCATTTAGTCTAAATTATTACGACATCTTTTAGGCCAAGTAAATTTAATTAGTAGATTTTCATCCAAATTTTTGAAAAAAATGGGGTGGGTGGGAGGATTTTATTTGTTATTAGATATGAAATGCTCTTGTGACGTGTTCTTCATATATGCAAGTGTAATAATAAGGTTCTATCATGTATATACATGTATAACGAATCAAACACAAAGAGAAATGCAAAAACCAAAATTTGAAACAGGAAGTTATTAATGAAACGAAATTATTGCGGTTACCAGTAACGAAAATGAACAAAATCCGGAAATCATAAATTTTTCAAAATAAAAAAAATTGGGGCGAAACGATTTCAGAGGGGCGGGCGGGGATGAAAATCTATCAATTAATTTTAATTGGCCTTAACAGGCTAAAGTATCTTATTTTTTTGCTGTGACAGCTTCCTATATAGCTAGGACATCATAACATGGAAGCCATCATTTTCGGCCTGAATAACACAGGAAACTTCAGTTTTGAGACCTAATTTTGCCATGAAATCTTCACTGAAGGCAAGAAATTTTTGCATATTTTAAAATATTTACCGTTTGTGTGCTCACTCAAGTGCTGGGGTTTGTGGGTTTGAACCCAGGCTATGTCAAACGGAAAGACTTGAAAATTAGTATTTGCTGCTTCTCCACTGAGCACACAGCATTTAGGAGTAAAAGCAAAGACTCGTACAATTAGGCTCAGAATCAAAATAATGTGTCCTGGAAGGGTGACATATCTTTCTGCAGACTAGCTGTTCCCCTGTGAACCAGCATGTTAATAATCTGGCTCAGCATCTCAGTTTAGTACAAAGCAGAGTTTGTATTCATATCACATTATCTTGTTCTCGGCCTGTATATGCATTTAATTTACTACTGGATGTTATACAGCCAGCCATCCTTCCATCCATCATCTGGTAATAAAATGATAACTTATAGACAGGTCATAGAAACTTGTATGTGTGACCATATCATTGTATTTATTAACTACAGTTGCAATGTAACTCAATATCTTAGTACTAACAGTCACTCCTAGAATATATTTGAGGACTTGTAAAAAATTGTATATATGCAAGGCAAAGAGCAAAGGCATAACTTTATAGCTGCACAAAAGAGTCGGTGAAAAAGACCTTTTGGATTTTAAGATACATGTATAATATATTCTATTCTAATGCAATTATTTTGTATCAATGGTTCTGATTGGATGGCAATAATTGTAAGATTCTCTATCTCCCTGTTTGTAACAAAGAAAGCCAACATTTTGATTTCCTGAATGTATTGACATGTAATTTCTCCAGTAATAAGCAAAAACTCACATTTTGCACCTATAAATCATCTTTTTATCAAATTTTATTACACTCTGGAGTGGACAAGAAGCCAGAAAACCTGAAAGCCTGGAGTTTACGTTTGATGCCAGTAGCATACCTATGATGTCACATAATTTAGGCGCCAAAGAAGATAACATTATTTTGCGGAATTTTCGTTTAATGAAGATTTTCATTGAAATAATGACTAAAATTCAATGATTTGATTATTTTGCATTAGAATAGAGATAACTATATTGTATTTGAAGGTTTGCGGACGTCCATTAGTAGTTTTACTGTCGCAAATATCCGTTTAACTCAATTTGCGACAGTAAAACTACCGATGGACATCTGCAAAGCTTCAAATACAATACAGTTATCTCTAAATTCAAAGCTACTTTAGCTAATATCTTTACAAAACTGTATAAGCCAATAATTTTTTTGTATTGTTCAACTTGTTAAGATGTTGTCTCATTTATTTGTCGAGCCTTCGACTTTTGTCGAAAAAGCGAGACATAACGATCCTACATTCCGTCGGCGTTGTCGTTGGCGGCGTCCACAAATATTCACTCTGTGGTTAAAGTTTTTGAAATTTTAATAACTTTCTTAAACTATCCTGGATGTCTACCAAACTTGGACAGAAGCTTGTTTATGATCATAAGATAATATTCAAAAGTAAATTTTGTAAAAAAAAAATTCCATTTTTTCCGTATTTTACTTATAAATGGACTTAGTTTTTCTGCCAGGAAACATTACATTCACTCTGTGGTTAAAGTTTTTAAAATTTTAACAACTTTCTTTAACTATTCTGGATTTGTACCAAACTTTGACAGAAGCTTGTTTATGATACAAAGCTAGTATCTAGAAGGAAATTTTGTTCCATTTTTTCCGTATTTTACTTATAAATGGACTTAGTTTTTCTTCCAGTTAACATTACATACAGTCTGCAGTTTAAGTTTTTAAAACATTTATTAGATTCATAAACTATCCTGGATTTTTACCAAACTTGGACAGAAGCTACTTACAATCAAAAGATAGTATAGAGAGGAATATTTTTATTATTTTTTTTCCTCATTTTTGTTGAGTCTGTGATAAACAGCAAAAGTAGGCGAGACACTGGGTTCCACGGAACCCTTCGAATTTTCTAAATGTATACCACGCATCTTCTTTAATTCAAAATTATTTAGACTAGTACTAGTGCACTTGAATTGTTGCAATTTAGAGGTCATGTCTAATTATTGGCATGACTTGTATAAAACTTACATTTTGATACAGGTAGTACCTTTTTATGCCCCACCTACATTGTACTAAAGTAGAGACTTATGCTCCTTCCTGTCTGTGCGTATTACTGTCCTGTTATAGGTTATGTCTTGTTTTGTGGTAGTTTATGGTTACATACATCGACTTGTGACTTACGTGTAGTACACATGCACATTATAAAGTGAACTGTTAAATATATATGTCATGGCTTTTGATTTTATATGCAATACACTCTCCATGAATTTCCTGCTATAAAGGTCACCTCTCTTCAACAAAAACCTGTTTGGTTAGGTCATCCTAATCTTGTGGCTCTTGTCCCATTTTCTATAATACCCTGTCTGGTTAGGTCATCCTAATCCTGTGGCTCTTTTCCCATTTTCTATAATACCCTGTCTGGTTAGGTCATCCTAATCCTGTGGCTCTTGTCCCATTTTCTATAATACCCTGTCTGGTTGGGTCATCCTAATCTTGTGGCTCTTTTCCCATTTTCTATAATACCCTGTCTGGTTGGGTCATCCTAATCTTGTGGCTCTTGTCCCATTTTCTATAATACCCTGTCTGGTTAGGTCATCCTAATCCTGTGGCTCTTGTCCCATTTTCTATAATATTCTGTCTGGTTATGTCATCCTAATCCTGTGGCTCTTGTCCCATTTTCCATAATACCCTGTCTGGTTAGGCCATCCTAATCCGGTGACTTTGTTCCATTTTCTATAATACCCTGTCTGGTTAAATAATGTAGGTCAACCTAATATTGTGGCTCTTGTCCCCATTTCATTGTACACTACAATGTTTCAGTCATCTTGGTAGTAAATGTTCACAGTGAATGGTGATGAATAGGGGTGTTTCACTCTGAAGTATTATCTGTAGATTTCATATGTTTCATACTTGTATACATGGTATATGGATAATTCTAGATAATAAAACAATTGATCCTGAGCTTACTTGTAAATGTTATCCTAAAGATGTCAAAGATAAAAGTAAGCCTTCAGGCTTGGTGGCTGAGTGGTCTAAGTAGTTCAACTACTTGATCGCTAGCCGGTTAACACTGAGGTAGTGAGTTCAAATCCAGCACATGGCAGGTGTTCTCGACCCCAATCTAAATTGATAAAGATTGTCAGTTTTCCTACCTAAGGTTGTAATTTTTTGGAGCACTCTGGCTTTCTCCATCAACATAAACTGACCCCTACAAAATTGCCAATAGTGCTGAAAGTGGTGTTAAACTTTAAATCAATCAATCAGTCTTGCATGTTTTTTTTATTTTGGTTCATTTATATGTTTCAGAGTTTAGTGTGACATCCATTTTCGCTGAACTAGTATATAGTACGTATATTGTTTAGGGGCCAGCTGAAGCCCGCCTCTCGCTGTGTTGCCTTGAGCTGTTTTCTGCTCTTTGGTTGGTTTGTTGTCTCTTTGACGTATTCGCCGTTTCCATTCTCAATTTTAATCTTAAAAAGAACAATAGGAATCAACGAGTTCTTGAATCTGTTGTAGCCTGCATAGTGGTAATTAGGACCACTTAGACAACATTGTAGCCTGCATAGTGGTAATTAGGACCACTAAGACAACATTGTAGCCTGCATAGTGGTCATTAGGACCACTAAGACAACATTGTAGCCTGCATAGTGGTCATTAGGACCACTAAGACAACATTGTAGCCTGCATAGTGGTCATTAGGACCACTAAGACATCATTGTAGTCTGCATAATGGTCATTAGGACCACTAAGACATCATTGTA